TTATTACATCGGGTTTCATCTTGTCTCTAATTTTTTCGAATGCTTTATAATTTGCACATAATGAAAGTTGAACAAACTTCGGTAACTTAATACATTTGTAAAAAAAAAATCAGCAAATTTGTCTATAAATAAGAACTTATTAATGCGTAGAGTGGAAAAGAGTGTATTATTTAATAAAAGTTGATGTGTTGTCATTTTCCATCATTGCTAGTAATGCATTTATTTTGGGGTATATTGGACTCTGATGTTGAACAGGGTCACGTGCTTCTGTGTGTCTACTATAATCTAACATTACCTAGACCCAAACGAGACTTTAGGCCACAAAAAAGTATATAGGACTATGTTGGTTCACATAAAATGTGGGTAGAGAAAAAAACGTATATAGGACTATGTTGGTTCATATCAAAATTAGGTAGAGGAATTAACAAGTATATAGGACTACGTTGGTCCTTACAAATTGGGATTAGTTACAAATTGAATAACTTGGTTCAATTCAATGGCTGGAATGACGTGGGGACTGACTTACCTTCACAAATGTAATACTAAATCGCCCTATTCAGAAGTATAACAATAAACGAATCACTCGCTTCTTTTCAACTGAACGAATCGTTGTTCCCTACAGATTGAGATTAGCTACAAAATTGGATAACCATGTTCAATGGTTGGAGCCAACTTGCCTCGGGGGCTGCTTTTCACAAACATGATCCTAAATAGCCGGGTTCAGAATTTATAACAATAAACGAATTCCTCGCTTTCTTCACTGTAACAAAATGAATTAGCAGAACAATTCAGGTATTACGCAATGTTACGAGTGGTAATAGATGTTGCGAGTGGAACAAAAAGACGATTTACCAAATTATCCATAATCCATGTGAAGAGTTGAACAAAGGCAATAACCTCTTTACAATAAATAACTTAAAGTGGACATTCAGATTTGGACACGTAAGTTATTGAACAAAAGCGATAGCCTCTTTACGATTCTGATTGGACCACGTAGTCATTCTACGCCATTTCGGCATCTTTACAATAATGCATTCTGATTTGGGACACGTAGATGTTTTACGTTAATTATAGCCCCAAGTCAGAAATCTTTGTTCCTATTTACAGGTAAGAATTTCCTATTACTTACTTTAAAAATTTTTGTAGTAACTTGTATTTTTTTCCCTCTTTTTATGTGCTACTATAATGTAATGAAATATTTTATTGTTTCTATGTTCATTTGTATGAATTCGCTAGCTTCATAGCATTCTTTAGATGATACAGTATAATGTCCAGTGATCGTTTGCAGGTTATTATTCTAAATTATATGAAACGAAATATATTCCTTGAAATGATTAGAACATCAGTCGTGACTATTGAATTTTAGGCTTTATGAATTCAGGCAATATTTTAATTACTTGTATCGCATTCTAAAATGCAGAGAATTTTTACAAGCATATGAAGTAGTAGATCACAGAGACATTATTCAAATGTATTGTAATATGTATTGTATGAATAAGTATATCTTTAGAATATAGTTTCATATATATCAATAAAGGGTAATTAAAGCCCCAAGTCAGAAATCTTTGTTCATATTTACAGCGATTCCCGCTACCTCAAGCGCCACTTTGCTCTTAAAGGGATCACTCCTTTCTCTCTCTTCCTCTCCAATCCAGAGCCGAAGATTCCTTCTCTTAACCAAGCAGTGAGAAGAAGATTATGTTAAGAAATAACAAAAACATAACAATTACATAATCAACAAAAATTTCTTACATAACAGAAGTATATCGTAACAGGTGTGTGCATGAAAGAGTGGGGGAGAGGGCTTACTCAACATGCTACAGACTATAAAGATGAGACGGGAATTGTGTTATTAAACATTGTTAAAGGAATCTAGACACAAAAGAATTTAAATATTAGCCTACCATGTCTGAAATGCATAGCAGGCTTATTTTGTTGTCCAAAAAATGGTTCAGTTTATTTTATTTTTATTTGTTTGTTTGTTATTTGGGAGGGGTGCATGTGTGTTGTCTGGTTAAATGTAGTCTAATTATTACATGTTTTACACGCCGCTGAGGTGGCTTAATGATTTGTGCCTCCATCTTTGATGCGGGAGGTCGCGGTTGGGATCTGATGCTACATATCTGTGGAATGGTACCCCAGTGCTAGATATCACTATAAACTGCCATATTGCAGACATCTTAGCAATCTGACTGAAAAATTGTTAAATCTACGTTAAAAATTCAAACCACACACACACACACACACACACACACACACACACACACACACATTTTGCTCGACAAGTTTGTCCGCAATCTAATCGAAACAAATTATTATGCCGTGAGTGTATCATGTTTTGTGAGTCTGTCCTGGATGGAAATGAGGGGTACATTCTAGACACGTCAAGCGGGAAATATCATTTTGTCTGAACTCAAACGGAATTCTCGTATTCTGTAAGTTTCTATATTTGTTTCTTCACAATGAGTCTGCAGTTTGTTACATGTTTGTTCAGTTTTGTTGATAAATGTAATCGGTTTGAGTTCGTGAGCCCTTTAAACAAAATGCAAGTTCATCATGTCCGGTCTGTACCAAAACAATGTAATTATTGACACCTACTATTTGAAATGATTTTTGCTTATTAAAATTAACATACATCCAATCACCTAATGCCCACAGTGGATAGGATATAAAAGAGAGATATAACAAATTATTATATTAAAGTTTATCCCGTATTAACGAACTATATCTCCTCTACCACCCTAGTATCCTCTTGTATACAAAAGTAAAGCCTGTATTCCCCGATAACTTTACTACCTGCTTTGGAGTTATCAGCACCCGTCCATCTCCTGGCCCAACAGAGTAAGATGTAAAATAAGGGCTATACGATGGAGCTAAATTCTGTCTCCCCTACCACCATATAATCATCGTAATAAATACAGTAAGATTCTCATCCCCAAACAAGTTCACTACCTCCGTTTGTAGGGACAACTACTCAGTCTTCCACTGGCCACACATGGTAGGATTAACAGAACCTTTATACAATAGAAATTAATGCCTTATAAACAAAACCAATTTCTCTTACAACCCAGTACGAGAGGGAGGGGGTAAGCGACACCCCAGGCTAATAACAAAAACGTACACGCACACAAAACGCACAATCAATTGTCTCTTGAAATTTGACCATTGTTTTATTCTTGCGCACATTTATTGGGTATTATGCAGTCTTTCAATAAAAATAAGACTTCTTATTTGGTGCCCTTTCGAGGAATGTCGGGAAAGTTAAAATTTTGGAAACCTCCCCAAACACTTGACATGATCCGATCCTGAAACTTATGATCGCTCTAATAAATAAAATAAAAATCTCCAACCCAACCTATGTAATTGTGTCTTAATATTTTAAACAAAATACATTCACACGTGGCAGGATTTAAAAAATAGCTCTAAAAATAGAATTACAAACAAAACAAAGTTCACTAGTTGCCCTTACCATCATATGATCCCCAATATAAATCGAGTTATACTGTCCCCCACCCATATACTCCGTTTTCAAACAGAGCCGTCATCCCCTTTACTAATTTCATTATCTCCATTATTGTATCAGTGGAATGAAACAAGGGGAAAAAAGCAGACCATAAGGAGAAATTAACACTAGGTTATCATTTTTAAGAGTTTTTGAGGACGTACAAATTCTAAGTTAAAAATGTTCATCTGCTTTTGTCTTTTGTAATTCCTGTAGAAAGCTAATAAAAGGGTAGTTTTAAAACTTCTCATAATCCTAAACTTTTTAAAATTCTTATTGGAAGTCAGTTGTAATTTTGCACAAAGGTAGCATATGTGCATTGATTATTTTCTGAAAACCATTGTTATATTGAAACTTGTTGAATAAACACGACATGACTTGTGTGTGCCTCAAAATTGCATTGCTAAAATTAGATCAGCCTTAATTGTTTATAATTTTGGCTAACAAAGGCGTGTGCAAAAAATATTACAAAGTTACAATTCTCTTCCATAGATTTTATACTTTGATGTTAAGCAAAACCTGGAGTAAGTAGTTCTCATGTCAGTCCCTGCCGCTCTGAAAGCAGATGAACGAAGAAAGTCAAATAATACATTACACCCAACCGAGATGTGTTTACGGTAAATTCATCAGTTCCCGCTTTTGAAAAACTAAACCCCAGATTTCATATGATGAAATTTACCAAAATGAAGAAACGCTCAAAGGTTCTGAAGTTTTGGTGAGAAAACGTTTTTGAGAAACTGCAAGATAAAAATACTAAAACAGAACGGCATTTCAATTCTCAAAACAAGAGAGAGAGAGAGAGAGAGAGAGAGAGAGAGAGAGAGAGAGAGAGAGAGAGAGAGAGAGAGAGAGAGAGCATTATAAAATGTGTGCGCATGTGAATATTTTATCCATACTTAAAAATAATCAAGAATTATTAGTTATACGTATTGCCTTTAATTAAGATCGCAGTAAAATTAAAAAAGCGTATTCAAAAAATATCCCACATGAATGTATCGTAAATTTATCACAAAGAATACACAGGTAAAATAAATCTCAACAAACGTAGTAGCTAACACACATATGACAAAAAGGAAATATTGTGACATGTGGAATCCTATAAAATCACACTTGATTGAATTGGGCAGATACAGTATTTCTTTGGCCGGTGCGTGCGTGCGTGTGGCATGGCTACAATCTTTGGACCTTGATGCAATTGTTACCGACGGGCCCCTGGAATGTTATTGAGGGTCCTTAGTGTATTAAAAGAATTGTGTTGTGATGTTATTATGATTTTTAATGAAGCTTTAACAATTTATTAGTCATATCGCTACGATGTCTGCAGTGTGGCAGTTTAGTGATGTTTAGTACTAAGGCATCGTGCCGCAGACATGAAGCAAGATGTCTCACCCACTCGCATTATCCTGACACCACCAGGCCGACCAGTCCTAACACTAACCTCTTAATGCTAAGCGCCAAGCGTGGAAGCTGTTAATACCATTTTTGTAAGTCTTCGGTATGAATCCACCGGAGATCGAACCCACGACCTCCCGCATCCGAGGCGGAAGCTCTAACCATCAGGCCACCAGAACGATTAAAAGAATTGTTTGGGTGGGTTTGTGGGACCCATGTAATCGTGGGACCCTATGCCTAACGTTTGTTCGTGTGTGTGTGTGTGTGTGTGTGTGTGTGTGTGTGTGTGTGTGTGAGAGAGAGAGAGAGAGAGAGAGAGAGAGGGGGGGCAGTCTTCTATAAAATTTGTCACTATCTTAATGCATGCTGTTAAAATCATAACAAGCGAAACAGACTTTTCGGAGGTGGGGTGGTATATTTTTCCCCATTAATTTGCATCACAATAAAACTCAATAACAAACCGCAAAAAAAATTGCATTCATATAAGGCCCGATTTGTATTAAGTCTCTGTAAATACATTCTCATGGCAAATGAGGTAAGCTGCTGCCTCTTCTTTGAAAGTATTCACAACGACCATATTTTGGATCTACTAAGGAAGGTAACTACAGCACAGAAAACATCTGAAATATTCAAGGAATGCCTCATTTTTATATTCCTCTTCGTGAAGTTTTACACCAAAAACGGTAACACTGTACTTCGTATCGTTGACGCAAATATAAAAAAAAAAATCCGCTTCTGTCAAAAGATGGTGGTCTAAGTCCTTTTTGTAGTGCTGTAACGGACAAAAGCTGGTCCAATCAGAACGTTGCCGTTGAAATTTTAATGTCGTATGTTCAGAATTCCAATTTCACGTGTTGCATCAAAAATGCTCGTCCTTAAAAGTTCCATTTTCTGGATCGATAGTTTAGATTGTATCTGTTTAATTAAATAGTAGTGGCTGAAAGTCGTATTTGCATTGTTGAGGTTTTGGTTGTCTCATCTGAATTAGACGTCGGTGGTTGCAATTTCAATGTCATACGTCGAGAATTCCTAATTTATTTGTTGGTTCAAAGAGTTTATGTTAAAAGTTCCCTTACATATGTTGAGTATTTAGATTTTATCTGTTAAATTACGCAGCACTGGTTGAAAATTCTATGTCCAATATCGAGTCTTTAGATCGGATCTTCTGAATTACAAAGCGGTTGTTGACATTTTAATGTCATATATCTTTGGTTTCAATTCAACATGTTGAATCACATTGCTTGTTCTGAAATTTCTATTTCGTATGTTCAGATATTAGATTATATCTGTTGAATTACGCAGCTGTGGTTGGACATTTTATTGTGCTTGTCAGAATTGCTTTATGTGTTGGTATTAAAAAATATTGCACAATGTCCACTTTAATAATTCAAATAAATATCGAGCATTAAGATACATCATTCGTGTATTCTATTATGAAACGCCATTATGAAAAGCTGTCATTCACAGGTCGAAACTTACTATAAATTTCTTCGCTGGAAGTCGTTCTCGTGAACGGATCGTGTTATTTTTACACAAGGAGGCTTGTACTCGTTGCTGTGAAATTAAACAGATAAAATCTAAATACTGGTCATATGAAATGGAACTTTAATCACAGTTACATTCAACGTGTCGATTAGGGATTCTCGACATATGATAATTGAAATGTCAACCACCACTATGTAATTTAAAATATACACTGTAAAACGTAGACATAGAAAATAGAACTTTAAACAACCACTGTATAATTCAGCATATAAAATCTAAAATCTCTATATAGAAAATGAAACTTCAAGGACATGCAATATGATCAAACAGACGATATTGGATTTCTTGACATACGACATCGAAATTTCAACTGCAACGTTGTCATTGGACCAGCTTTTATCCGTTACGGCAACTCATATCCTTCCAGATATGTCGGCCTTTCCCTTTTGAACGTTTGGAACCGACTTTCAAAATTAACACAGCCACGCAAAATCACGGTAAAAATGTTCATATTGTTATTTGTAATTCTCGACGAGTTTTAGTTTTTAAGAGGTTAGACGAGATCCATACAGAAGCAGATGGCTTTCAGTAATAGGCGCAGGGCCGACAAGAAGCGATGGGGAATCAACCGGGGATATATCCCCCAAAGCCTGGGCCCATAAGAGAGCCGGTGCCGAACAATAATAATTTTATAAATGACAAATTTTGTTTCAACAAGAACTAGGAGGGGCCAGAGCTATTTTAAGGCATAGGCACGTGCCTAGGGCCCCGCGGCGACCCACAAAATTTCGGTGTTTGTTGTGTTTGTAGTTTAGTACTATATTAATAAATTTAACAAAATGACACACATGCATATGGAAATGCTATGCAATACTCTATATCTGAAACTGAGAGATTGAGACGCAATTCTGGTGACTTTTAAGGTTAGAGTTTGTGCCTAGGGCTTCCAAACTTCTTAAACCTGCTCTAGGAGAGGCCCGGTTGTAGTAGTATCAATAGATGATGATCCTGTATCAGAGACCCTCCTGACCCCCCCCCTCAAAACGTTGCATTTTAACATTTTTGTACGCAGCCCTTTTTAAGCTCAAAATGATGTATTTTACATAAGGCTTTTTCTAACGCATCTCTGAAAAAAAACTTGTCAGGGCAGGGGTGTCTAATACAGGATCAGATCAACCCTTCCTACTACTATAACAATCTTTCATACTTATTAGTCAAAATGTCATTAAACAAGTTAAATATGATATGTCATTTCAATACGATATGTTGGATTTGATCTAACATATTTTGTAAAAGATTTTTATTCAATCAAAGCAGCATCAACTTATACAGGTATAAAACCTAATATAATAAGCGATTGTATTACAAAAGTATGATATCATATATCGCCAAAATTTGGGTCGGTATTTTCGAGACTGAAAATGATGAGAATTTTCGGCTGGCAGATGTGATGATATTTGTCGATAACATGGTCGATATATTATTTGATAAGAATATTTCTAAAGCTATACAAAATTAAACATCTACATTTTATTATAATTTTTTTGTATTTTCTAACTCTAATTGGCTTAATATCCGTTAACATACTATTAATAATTCGGAACTCTCGTATTAAATCGTCCATATTGTATTTTATGCCGCGCAAATAAGATCGAATTTGATCATATAATTTTTTTATGCAATACTTACTGTTTTGCAAGCATTTCTTTTAGTCACGAGTCGATGTTCAACTTTTTTATACGCTGATAAAATAGAAATACCGACACCAGATATTAACAAAAACGGATTTAATGATGCGCCTCTTGAAATTATGCCAGAGTCGGTCATTAGCAGCGGCAGATATATCACTCGAAGTATTTTGGTATAGTATTTGTAACATTTTTTGACGCAACAAAAGATTTTTTATGATAGTATCTGTAATAGTGCATTAGAGTGTCAACATCTTGTTTGGGAATATTTTTTGAAATATGATTAAAATAGACTATATAATTTTCATTACATATGTTTACATATTTTTTACCATCCTTTAAGTAACTAATTCTGGAGTTTTCAGCTGCAAAGTCAATAAACCACCAATAAGTCGCTGCGATTAACACTTTATTATACGCTATCAGCATACACGTTTCCTCGATATCTTTAACACGATAGACACAGTTCCAGAAAATTCATTCGTTGAATGACGCCATGGTAATGTGGTAAATATACTAAACTTTACAATGCTAAACACAGAAATCTATACAACAGTGACCTCTTTGATGTGTTTGAGAGTGTTATTTTGCTGCGACCATTATTAGATTCTGATGCTACCGTGTACACGATATTGTTAGCTCATCCGTGAGAAATTTCAACAAGATTATTTTTTTGAACAATATTAGGAATTCCGCTAATGATATCGCAGAGTCTTGCGTTATTGTCAGGGAGATTAATAATAACTACAGTTGGTGGACTTCCAAAAAAAAAACAAATAGTTCTGCTTAAATTTCTGCGAAACCATAGAAACGTTTGTACGTCATTATAATCAGTTTTAAATGTGGCCATTCCATCATTGATATCGTTAACGAAGTCGTTATTGGAATTTGATTATCGTCGACGTTTTTAGTTGCAGCGTCAAAATCCGTTTCTGGTGCTCTGTGATTATTGCCATTATTATTCATACTGAGAAATAAACGCATGATACCACCGCTCACTAATACGTACTTGGATTCTTGATTGTCAACCTACTTTTATGTTGCTGTATCTGTATCTGCAACTAGGTTTCCAAGAGAGGTAATTTCTTTTCCTGACATAACAATTTCACCAGTAATTAAATCACCAGCTTTCTTAGCATAATTGTTAAAAGACTTGTTCGATTCATGTATTTTACCTTGGTCAGTAAAAGTAATTAATTTATTAACAACTGCAGTGTGAATTCGTATGAATCCATCTGACTATTGTATATTACTGGTTTTTAATCGTCCTTCTTTATCTTGTGATATTTAATAAATTAACAATTTTATTTTTGAGCTGATCAAGAGTTGCGTATTTCGATAAATCACCTTGCTGAGCAAACGAGGAATCTTCTACCCTACCGATGTTCCAAGTTTTGAAGAAAAAAAATTCTATTTATTGTTGACAAACTTGTATACCCTAATATTGTATAACAATAATGGCAAAATCGTCCATATTAAACTTTGATACAGAGCGTTTGGTGAAACATAAACATGACAATTAACTTACAGGTTGTCATTATCTTATAGTTGGTAGAACTGGATCGGGCAAAACAAATTTGCTTATGAATTTACTTCTCGGGGTGAATTTAACTACAATCGCGTTTATATTTAAACAATTAATCCCCAACAAGATAAGTAGGAATTAGTTAACAATTATAATGACAAACTTCATGACGATCTTGAGGATGTAGAAGATTTTTTATTATCAAACAATTAACAGTTAATTAACTCAATTCGTCCGAAACAAAATAGTTTTTTATGATATTCCGCTAAACAACGAGGAAATGAATAAAATCAGACCGTCTTTTTCATTGTCGCGAAATAAGAAATGTAATTATATTTATCTCGCTCAAGGACACTATAATGTCGACAGATTTATCAGGCAATATACTAGTTGTTTTATATTATTTCCTGGACTTGACATCATTGGCGTTAGAAATATCGCGAACGAGCAATGCGTCTACGTAGCAAAAGATAAAT